TGCCGGCAAAATCGGAGCAAAATATCGAGATGTTCGGTAAAAGCGATGCCTGATACTTGGATTTCCTTGTTTCTTACCCGTTCAGCAGGATACACTGCCCAGGACGAGATTATGTCACCGAAATATCTCTGGGATTCACTGTGGATCGACTTGATTTTGGAAGAACTCAGGGACACGTGCGTTGAAACCCTTGTTGAGAAACCGACCCTGCGATTTTTATGAAGCGTTGTACGGGATTGTATGGGAAGTGGATATTAAACACGTTTTTCCGGAGCAAAATGGAGCAAAATATCGAATTTCTTGTGCCAGGCTCGGCAAAATATCGAAGATTGCGCAGCAACATTTTGCCGCAAAATATCGAGGCGACCGGAACAGAATCTGTCTGGGCCTAGCCGCGGGACGGGTGCACAAGATCGTACAGTGCAGTCTAGTGCAGGGTATTGTACTACTCCCTGGTCTAGTGTACATCGACTGTACACTGCACTGCACTACACACTCGTGCACGCCCGGAAACTTCAAAGGAGTGTCGACATGTCGTAGATCTACTGACGGTAAAATACGTGTACTGTGTAGTACAGGTGTAGTGCGCACTTACCCTCCAATACCTTCCGTATCTTCTGCGACGGATTTTCGCAACATTCGCCATGCTTCTTTCTCCGAGAAATCACTTTCTCAGTTGCCGTTGGACCAAAGACTTGGAAGTTCGAGATGTCTCGCCCTGTCTCTGTTGGAAAGCGAAAGCGCTTCTCCTACGCGGAAAAGTACGCCATTCTGCAGGAGCTGGACAAAGGTGCAAAGCGGACATTCGTTCAAGAAAAGTATGGAGTCGCGCACGGTTTTTCTTTTTTCTTTTCTTTTTTAACCCTTTAATAGGTGCCGGTAGGTCGATTTCGACCTATGCTGACAGTGCTTACTAAAATCGAGCACAGAGCCAGTCTCGTACATCGCAGGTGCCTGATTTTTTGTACAGAGACCCTTCAGTAGCTGGCCTGTAGATAGCAATAGAGAAAGTAGGGGGGGGGGGTTGCATTTGAAAAAGTCGAGTCGTGATCAACGACGATCGCGCAGATCAGCGGAAGTCAATCGAGCGTGGCAGCCTACGCACGCGTCCCGCAACATGAACAAAACGTTGCTGTTTCGCTTCGTTTTCGACTAGTACAGTTCATGGCTACTACAGCTGACCTCCGTCATGGATGGTGCAAGAGCGCTTGAGTTGTTTGAAGAGCTGGAGGCCGATGATGCCCCTGTAGAAGAAGAATCAGAAGACGATGATGGTGAAAAATCTGACGCTCTTTTATCTGACGGAAACCTGCCGTCATCAGATGAGGAAGACCGACTCAACGATGATTTGGTTTTCGGTGAATTTCTTGAGAACGGCAGCTCTTCAGATGAGGACAAAATTTCCCACGATGAGCTTCAAGAAGCTGTGGGGCGAGGACAAGCGCAGCCAGTTCGTGGACGTGCTCCGCTCGCGCTGCGCGGAGGAATTGCTCGCGGCGCTGGTCGAGCTCAGCCAGCTGATGGAACAGCTGATCGTGGCGTGCGTGGCGGAGGCCGTGGCGCAGGCCGTGGACGAGGTAGTGGATTCGGCGTGCTGAGTGGTGTTGGCGACCAAGATGTTCTTGGACCAGCGCAGAACCCTGACCCTATTGTAAATTTTTCCGACTTGAAAATTCAAAAATCGGACTTTGCTGTGTATTGCCATTCAGAATACATACTTTTGTCGCTACATCATCTAAACGGTTGCGGAGTTATAGGCTTTCCAAAAAATTGAGCCAAAACTACGAAAAATCTAAAATTCAGTCAGGCACCAAAGGGTTTTAATGGCTTTCTCTTCTACCTCGAATGGTTTACAATCTGTATCACAATTATTTGTGGGTTCAGCAATAAAGGATGTGTACTACTACTACTGCTACTGCTACTGCTACTGCTACTGAGAACGTTGACTTTATTTGATAACAAACTAGGTGTCGGAATGAAGAATTCAAAAAGCGGAAGCAAAGAAGGCAATGGTGACAAATCCAATCAAGTATATTGTAGATAGGAAAATCAAATCAAATAAATAGGAAAATCCAATAAGAAAACAAAATAAAAGAATCAAGTCAACTGTCGAATACCAAAACAAAGAGTAAACTGCTACTGCTACTACTGCTACTGCTACTGCTACTGCTACTGCTACTGCTACTGCTACTGCTACTGCTACTGCTACTGCTACTGCTACTACTACTACTACTACTAGAGAGAGAGGGAGATAGAGAGATGATACGGATAGATTGATAGATAGATGGATAGATCGAGAGAGAGAGAGAGAGAGAGAGAGAGAGAGAGAGAGAGAGAGAGTGAGAGAGAGTGAGAGAGAGTGAGAGAGTGTGTGTGTGTGTGTGTGTGTGTTGTTAGGGTGGGTTTATTATATTTCAAATACTGCTACATGCTGTCCCACTCTGCTGCTGCTTCCACGCCATCCTGCTGACCATACGTACCGGCCAGTTTTGTTGACAATGAGAGATGTTAACTGGCCATGACGATCAATGGTCACATGCAAGTGTTGGTTGGAAAGGCGATAGGCGCCCACCAACTCCTCGGCAGGCTCGACAACAGCAGTTGAAGCCTGCGATGTGGAGAAGATAGTCTTGCCACATGCGATGACGCTATATGCGTGGAAAAATATAAAATTCGGCTGAACAGGTCAAAAACAGGACGAAAAGTTGTAGCGTAATATATTCGTTAGTGATCCCCTGAACTATCTGTGTAGAAGGAAAACGTTTTGTCAGTTCAGTTGTTTGGCGCTAATCCTTGTGAAGGTGCCAGGAATGCTGCTCCTCATTGATGTTTTCATTCCCGTAGCTATGCAGAAGACGTTACTTCAGTAACGTTTCGCTCATCCATCAAATTATACCTGGGGTTCCCTGTAAAAAGGCGCTGACGCCTGTTGGGAATTCCCTAGTAAAAGAAGAATAAATAATAAATAATAAATAACGTCTGCCGCTAGCCAGGCTCCCTGACACAGCTTTAATTTGGTGTTTGTTTGTTTGTGTGTTTGTTTGTTTGTTTGTGTGTTTGTTTGTTTGTTTGTGTGTTTGTGTGTTTGTGTCACGCCTGGCGCTATCCCATATCTGTCCCGTACCGTACCATCAAACACAGCTGGCCACATACAGCTGGCCGCAATATTCAAATCGGGCTTTCAAACGCAAGATCATAACATGAAGCAACTTGGAAGAATGGGTATGAATGCGAAGTGTATGGGGGGAATGCATGTAGGGCGATAGTGCGGGTTCGAATCCCAGGTTATGCCTAAAAAAATAGGATAATTGAAAAATTTATAACATCCTTATGCTTTTTTTGCCTAGGTCATCAAGGCGGTAGACGGTGTCGTATTATCCTCGACCGTACCTGTCCCGTACCGTACCATCAAAGACGGCTGGCCACAATGCATATTCAAATAGGGCTTTCAAATACAAGATCATAACGTGAAGCAACTTGGAAGAATTAGTATGTATGCGAAGTGTATCGGGGGATGCTTGCAGGGCGATAGTGCGGGTTCGAATCCCAGGTTATGTCTTAAAAAAAAAGGAGAAATTTATAAGAATTTATAACATCTCTATGCTTTTTTTGTCTAGGTCATCAAGGCAAAAAAGCATAGCGTAGGGCCCTGAGCTTCCAAGCTCTCTTGTTATCATATCAATATGTTTTAGTCATCTCTTCACCTTCACCCTGCTTTTGACCTGTCCAGCTGAATGTTCTTTCCACACGTATAGCGCGAGGTTCTCGATCTATGCTGTTGCTGTAGCCCTGGAAGTTGCTGTGTTTTGACATTTTTCCATTATCCCTTGTACTTACCCATGATGAGAAGGGAACGAAAACACGTTCGGTTACTAAGTTTGCTTCACTGGACTGTGTGGGTTGCGTCAGTGCTGACACTTTGTTCGAGATGAAATTAACGGTGATAAAATTAGGGTACAGTCATCTTCGCTAATACCGAACGGTAATTCGCGAATAACGACAGAATTTCCATGCCCAGAGCAAAGTCCCATCCCACTGTAAGACATATAATGAGACTTCGGGTATAACGACACTTCACGAATAAGGACACTTTTCTGATGCCCCGCCGAGTGTCGTTATATGCAAAGTTGATTGTAGATGTCTGTGTTGTAGTACGTTATTTTGTGTACGTCGTGTGTACGTCATGTTGGTGAATGCGCGTGTTGCTGTGGTGTGAAAAGCAGTCTTCGTCTTGAGTTCGTCACGTCAAGTTGTGTTTCCGTAGTCGTCTTGCAATAAATAGTCTTTCAAGTGTAGTTATCGTCGTCCCTTTGTATAAGTGTGGAGATTGCACGGGACTGGGAGCAGGTCGAGAATAGGCAGTAACAACATCTGTATTTCATGGCAAAAAATGGGTGTGTGTGTGGCTTATACTCCAGTGCGGCTTTTACACTGGAAAATGCGGTGAGCCGCATAAAGCTCTTTTTGTGATGTGCGATGTGACGATACAATGCGATGTGATGCATTGCGATGTGAACTTGTGAAATGCCATTCACAGACGATGTCAGCGATGTGACGTAGCCTTGCTGATTTGACGCGAAGTTCAATGCAGGTGAGTATGTCACCATGGTATTCACAAACATGGCTGGGTGTGAGTACGTCACCGTGGTATTCGCATGGCTGGGTGTGAGTACGTCACCATGGTATTCGCATGGCTGGGTGTGAGTATGTCACCATGGTACTCGCATGGCTGGGTACAACGTGTTGCAAATCTACAAGCAACTCCTGAACTCTTTGCACAACTTTGTGGCAGAAAAAGGTCAAAATTGTACGTCGCATCGCTTGTTGCACCGTGAAAGTTGAGCCAAGCTCAACTTCTGTGATGACCTAGCTACGACAGGTGCGCGAGCTGCGAGATGGATGCGATTTGGGGATTTCCAGGTTTCGCTGCCGGAGGGGGAGGAGAGGGAGGAGGAGGAGGAGGAGGAGGGGAGGAGGCGCAGACACAACAACATGCCTACCCTTCACAATCAGCTGGACGAAGAACAAAGTAGCATCAGTCGTTACGACCGTATCGATCAAATTGCAATCCCTGTGAAATGTTTTCTTCCGAATGCACTTATCCCTTTGATGTGATTGGTACTGGGACATTTCCATGCACTTGCTGCGACCCTTGTCCACACATGCCGTAAAATTGTGCACCCACTGGGCGGGATCACGTGGTACGACACTGATGCAGCCGAGCACAGTGCCATTGTCCGCCTCTTTGAACCTGCGGATGTGAACGCGCTGGTAGTTGAAATCGTGCAGTGTCACGTGGTAGTCCATTGAGGAGTTTGACTCGTTAACAAAGTAGCGCTCGTTCCGTGCTGCGTTGAACCAACTGGCCTCTTTACCGACAAGACCTTCAAACAACTTACACTCGAAAGGCACAGTCTTTCTTTCTCCAGCATGCAGTCGAAATGATCGAACTGAGAACAGAAAGGAGCAGACAAGAACACACATGTATCGATCATTATCAATTTTAGAACGAAACACTCTGCGTCCGTTCTAGAGCCTAGTAAGAGCTAACAAGCCCCCCCCCCCATACTCGTCCCCGTCCGGCCCCCGTCCCCGTCCGGCCCCCGTCCCCGTCCGGCCCCCATCCCCGTCCGGCCCCCATCCCCGTCCGGCCCCCATCCCCGTCCGGCCCCCGTCCCCGTCCGGCCTGTTTACGGTGCTCCAAACCTTTTAAAGTGTGGAACACAGGATCACACCGAGTGCTCGAGTAGTCGTTGGTCAGGTAAGGTGATCGTCAGTGGCATGCGCTCACACACAACCCGGATTGCATGCATTTGATTGTGGACTGATTCGAATCGCTATTATCTTCCTCATTGGCCATGGGCCATCGTGGAAATAAAGAAATAACAATAATAAATGCGCACGTGCCGACAATGCCGACGACTGCCAGCCCGGCACTACCATTTGGTGCAGGTGGCGTGTCCAGTCGACCAGTGCAGTACCTGGAGTGACTTAGTTAGAAGTAACTTTATTTGGGAAAATCACGAAATGGCCCAACTTCTGCGAGAACCAGGCTTAGGGTGAAAATTATTTTTCGAGAAAAAATACGTTTTGCAAAAGGTTCATGTCACATAGGCACTCAAGTACAGCAGCGCAGTGGAACCAAAGAGAATCTTGCTTGCCTGCAGAAGTAGCAATCATGGCAGAAAGGGTTTCGGCAGTCAGGGAAGTCAGAGGGCGTCTGGTAGAAGATTCCCTGCTACTCCTTGAGTCTCGATGAAGAGTTTTTGTTGTGGTCCCATTCGCTTACCCATAAATGGATTACACAATCTATATAATTATCGTTCTATGTACTCTGTACTCTCACGAGTCTATCGATGTACCCGATCCGTTCCTGGATCAGTTACAGGGGCGTCACACACGGTACGACCACTACGACCATGGTCGTACCACTTTCGTCCAGGATGGTCCACCCAATTCATCCGAAAAAGCAATAAAAAAATTCAAGGATCTTCGGACTTGTACAAAACATCGCAACTGTTACTTTCATTGCAAGGAGCATACAGACTTGATGCCTAGCACTAGCAGCTAGCTATTGCCCAAGACTCCAGGCGGCTATCCATTACGATAGGCGGTTGGAGTCACGGGTAGAGACAACCAGACGATGGATTCCTCACGTACGCATCCCCAAGCTCTACCATGTTACAATGGCGATCAGCACGTCAAGAGACACTACATGTATGTCACTTGTCAGCTATTATTCTTTCCACAACGACACCTACCTAGTACCTCTGGCTCCTGACGATCTACTGCAAGCGGATTCGAAAATGCATTACACCCGCGAACGCAGCGCTTGTCAACGGAAAAGGGAAGCGCTTCATTCTCCGAAACTGAAAAGTGTTTGGACTGCTGCTCCACGGCGGCAGAATATTCTGCAGCTGTTCACCGACACGACCCGCTTCACCTATATTATAACATTTTACGATCGTTTCGTTCCCCGAGTTTTCTGGTAGCAGCAACAAGAATTGCGTCCGCGACGACAGGACGAAAGTCTCTCGCAAACTAAAGTCCTGTTGGCACGAAGACAGAGAAGATTCTGCAAGCGCTTTCTTCTGCTTCCAGTGTTGTAGCTCTCCGGTCCACTGGCAGATCTTTCAATCCCACCGAACAAAAAAAAAAGGATCTTCTTCTTTCTCTAAAAACAACTAAAATTACTTCGCGACTGTCCAGGCCGGCCGTGTACATAGTGCACGCGACGCAGCAGACTTTTGCAGGACACGACATGCGTTTTTGCACAGCGGCTGGCTCTAGAACGCGCAGCCGGCTTGTACTTCGGATTTTGCGATTTTTTCGAGGGCAATGGCCCTGAATCATTGAATGGGTTCCTTTTGCCTTGCTTGGCTACCTACGATGTACAGAAAATACAAAAAAATCCATGAGAAGTATGTTTTTGGAGCTGGGGTGGGGTTGTCTAATATGTGCTAGGGGAACCCTCCTTTGCGGCTGTAGAGTGCTAAAACGTGGCCTGGTAGCCGAAAAATCCTTATTTTTTTCTCCGGGGGACACCCCAGGACCCCCGCGGCCCGGTCGTACCACTCACAGCCACCCTGTGACGCCCCTGCAGTTACCTATGCATTTCTGTACTGTGTACATATACGCATCATGACAGTTTATCTGTGTCTTTCCTTCTTCTTGTAAATAAACCTCAGTCGTTGTCTGGAGCTGTTGAGTGGAGTCTTGTGTTTGACGTTGGGACAAAACCAAACGTTACAGTTTTCTTTAGCCGATCGAACCGATTCAATCCCCTACACCCAGGCCAGGGATGATGACATTTCTGTGCTAGCTGCTGCTACGGAAACTGGTGTAGAAATCGTCTCCAGTCAGAGTGGGGATGGCGATGGCGATGTGAACCTGTATAACATTGCTCCAGCCAATTGAAGAACGGCGACATCAACATACAGTTCCTCACACAACGTGCAAGACATACAATAAACAACATCCTTGACTACACATTGACTGTCTCGCATACTCGCATCACATGCACGACACTCCATCGGCTGCCCCTCCCTCTCTTCTGCTGGGCTCGCTGCTTCTCCCGGGGGCACACACGCATTCCACTAGACGTCCGTTGCCCAGTGGTACTCCGTTTACCCTGGGTTGGCGCCGGTTCTACGCGCGTGGAGAAGGATGCTCGTGGTATCGTATGTCCATCTTATCCGTGCGTCAAGCTGTACGTCATATTTGGGACAGTGCGTGCGTTCAGTGTGAAGAAGGACGTTCTACCTACCCTTAGTAAAAGTAACCTTATCTATTTCTTTCAATGCCGACAGTGTGAAGATCGGTCTGTAGGTAGAACCCTTCAGCACCTGGGCGCGCGCATTCGTCAACATGTTCCGCTAAGTTGTGTTCCGCTTGATGCGCGCGAGTGTTGTCCTTGCCGTGGTCGTCCTCCAAAATGTGCTGTCCAGTCCATTGGTGGATCTTCCTCTTCGTGTGAAGATATGACTGCATGCCTGTCCTCGTCTGCATGTGTAGGACACGGGCCAGCTGAGAGCAGCATGAAAGATGGTGAAAGACCGACACGTAAACCACCCAAACTGACAAAGGATCTGTCTGCGTCGGGAAGGGTTACGCGAAGCCAAGTAAAAATATGGACTGGTGAGGACGCACGTACAACGACAACGGAAGTGACAACAACAGTCAATATTCGAAAACGTGGTAGACCGCGAAAACGAACCTCAATATCGGACACCGGACAAGTTGGAGTAAGGAGCTCAATAGAAATCCGCAATAGAGGAGACGTAGCTGAAAGGACACTGGGCATCGCGCACCCAACGGCTAGTGTCAGGAAACGTGGAAGGCCGCGGAAACGCGAAGAGACGGATATTGGTGATGCCACGAAGAGGCGAGATGACGGGACATTGGAGGAGACAACACCCAACGGAGCTAAGAATCGCACTTCGTCAATCAAGCAACATCTGTCAGCCCGTACCAATTGTCGTGAGTTGTACAGTGATAATGTTTTCTCAATATTGTCACGTGGTAGATGTGCATTGCATTTGGCTGTGTTAGAAGCTTTGTATATCCGTAAGTTAGGTCCTGAATTTTGCGTGCAGAAAGAAAATGTGTTTCAAATCTTTATTCTCACGATAGCCAGTGGCCAATAAGAGATAAGAGTGAAAGAAAGGAGAAAGAGTGAGGAAGAATTGGGTGGGCAGAGCCTAGGGGTTAATGACTACTTACGTGTACGGGCAGGGGTGGTCGCTACACGAGCACACAGAGTTGTGCAACAGCAGGGATACAATTGTTTGGTGTTACTCCTCGTCGAGGTGTTAACAATGTAACTTAATTTGCTCACTATGTTGTTGTCACTATTATTATTTTCCTTCGAGTTTTGTGTCGTGCTGAACTTGATAATTTTCCACCTTGTCACGAGTGTTGTTATCTCATTATCTTTACGCTATATAAGTTTTAGTCTTTCCACCTTGAGCCATTCCCTGTGAAATCCTTGATCAGAAGGGACCGAAAATGTTCGGATACTTTTGACAAGTGCCTTATTTGACTGGATGTGTGTTTGCATGGATACTTGCAACCCAACACTTACATTCGTTTAGTAAAATATAGTTTCAGTAGACACTTCCTTCTATCAAATGTTTTCTTTTCCTTCTCTTCAGGATAGTACAGGGAATGTTGGAAATTGGGAAAAACACATTACTACAGTCAACTTCGCTTATAACGACACTCGGCGGCGGGGCCTAAAAAAAGTGTCCTTATTCGCGAAGTGTCGTTATACCCGAAGTCTCATTATATGTATTACAGGTGGAAGGGACTTTGCTCTGGGCATGGAAATGCTGTCGTTATTCGCGAATTGTCGTTATATCCGCAGTCGTTATTAGCGAAGTTGACTGTATATAGAAAAAGAAAGACAAGGAGGAAAACTTTCTTCTGCCAACGGAGAGGGAGTTTTCCTCCTTGCAGGACCACTCCCTTTCAGGTTGAGCACTCTACCGGATGTCAGCAGCAATGGACGGGATACTGAAACTGGACATGAACTATTCAGCGAAGAACATACCATTACCGACGCCAGCAAGATACCGGAAAGCACTGATCGAGAAAGTGGAAAGCGTCATCAAGTGCATGAGATGGAAGGCCTTCTTCTTCGGGAAGGACCAAGAAGAAGAAAGGGAAACCTGCGGCTTCAAGAGCAAGTACACACCACCACAGATTAAAGAACTATTGAAGATGACCTCCTAGCGCTGATCGAGACCATAAAGTTCAGAAGAGTGAATGACGAATTCCAGGACAGACTGAAGCAGGATATGCAGGAGCTGGATGACAGCGAAGACGTGATTGTGAGGGCCGACAAAACAAGGAACGTGTATGCCGCGGAGAAAGAAACGCACAAGAAACTCCTGCACGACAATACAACGAAGCACAACAAGCTAGTGCCCGATTCAGCATGTAGTGATAT